TCCTACGGGAAAGTAACAGTAATCTAATTACCGTTTTTGCAATAGTAATCCCTTACTTTACTCGTTACTTGAAAAAAGTAATCGGATTACAGTAACGCGTTACAAGCCCATCTCTGCCTGTAACGTGCGCTCCATTTCTTAACTGCTCTCACATTAATGTCTGTTTCAAACTTCTACGTTTATGTTGAGCTGCAGAGGCCAAATATTAGTCTTTAGGTGTAAAGCCCAAAGGCGCTTTGTCAGGTCAGAAATGCTCTCTGTTGTGTCCTTGTCTGTTTTTCTCTTCCCAACAGGGTAATCTCCAGTGTTCGGCAAGTTACTTTAAAAAAGTAATTAGTTATAGTTACTAGTTACCTCTTCAAAAAAGTAACTGAGTTACAATATTATAAAAGTAACTAATTACTAGGAAAAGTAACTATTGCGTTATGGTTAACTCTCTGGGGTCCAGGGTGGATGTTTTTGACTACTTTTGATTTTACCTCTACACTTCACCTTTAAAGTGTTTACCTCGCCTTGTTCGGTATCGTTCTTTTCAGCACAACCTCACATGTCTGAATTTACAGTTTGTTTGTTTTTTCATTTTGAAATACTGCATTAGCACAATTGATCTGAAATCAGACAAAAACAGAGTAGAAAAAAGGTTTTTACTGTAACAACCACAAACTAATCATTTTCATAATTTGAAATGCAAATCTACATTGTAAACTTTACAAATCTATGCACAAGTTTTGCAAACAACAAAGTTGTATGCAGCTATTTATCTAAAAAAAAAAAAAAAAAAAAAAAATTTATTAACCATTTCAAACTATTTACAGAACAATCAGGTGTTCTGCATCAAATTAGATGCCACACAAACTATTTGTGCAAAAATAATTTCTGTCCACTATGAGATAAAGGAGAACATCACGGGCCTGATACCTGCAGGCCTGACAACAGGAGGTGCATCACTCGTCCTGTTTTCTACCTGGAGACAGCGTTTATACTGTTGTCTGCCTTTGGTGGCTTTATGGCAGCAACTCATTGTTCTGACACACACAGCAAAACTATCCACTACACTACACACTAACTAGGATTGGCTATGTCATCTTAAATCGGTCATGTGATTGGTTTAACCATGACTACTCTATTCTTTCTCAGCCAATCAGCAGCACTTGTGCGATTGTTTCGCCCCCATAGCTCCCAGTAAGCTGAAGACGGCTTCAACAGTCTGTGTGTTGAAAAATAGTTACTGAAAAAAGTAACACCGTTACTTTTAACGCCATTATTCCCATCACTGGTAATGACCATTCATTTGGGCTACCCTGCATTTCCCTGTTAATACCAAGTTTTGCCAAACCTGCATTGGTCAGCGGTGGTTTCATACTTGATTAAATCATTAAAACAATATTTTCATAAAGTAAAAATCTTCCTTTCAACTCAGAAAAATTGAAGAGAAACCCAAGTGTATGTGATGTTTGGAGGGAGAGTGAGACATGCACCCACAGTCAAAGGCAGGCAATCCTAACCACATGTAATGGATATGGCTCAGTTATACTTGTGAGATGTTTCAAGCTCACTGCTTTCTCAAATTCACGCACACATCGAGTCAGGACTGGGTTCTTTGTGTCTGTAGGAGAACCACAAGCTGCGCGATCAAAACGACGACCTGAACGCTCAGATTCTCAGTCTGAGCTTGTACGAGGCCAAGAACCTGTTCTCCTGTCAAACCAAGGCCCAGTGCCTGGCAGCTGAGATTGACAACGCTTCCAGAGACGAGGTTGGTCTGTTACTGTTGGTTGGATGAAATGGTTATTCTTGAAATAACTGCGCTTGTAATGCATTCCTCTTCTCTCTCAGCTTGTGGATGCTTTGAAGGAGCAGGAGGAGATCAACCTGCGTCTGAGGCAGTACATGGACAAAATCATTTTGGCCATTCTCGACCACAATCCTTCCATCCTGGAGATCAAGAATTAAACACAATGCACATTTGTATTAGTGAAGCTGTGCTGATCTACCGTTACCTTTAGTCCGTAAAGTTGTAATCCATAAGATTCCTGTCCTGACTGAAGCTGATGGAGCTGTTTACACTACAAACAAACACACACGCATCACTCACTCAGGGATGTTTTTTTTCACAGATATTGTGCACGTTTGGCCCCCCCTGTGAGATATAAATCTTAAGCTGCACTACAAAATGCAGGAAATGTTCTGTTGGTGGACTGCAGTACAGCAAACCGTTCACATTAAAGCTTTCCTGCATTTCAGCATCAACTCTTTGGGTGTCATTGCTTTTACTTGGAGGGTGACACCAACCCTGGATATTTAATCCCTTTAATGTGTCACCACTTTGAATCTGGTAACACATTTTAATGTGTGGATGTTACCACAAATTACTGATAATGCAATAAATGGGCAGTTTTTGGTTTGGGTACGATCAGAATCTGATGCCACTAAAAAGTTAAGGATTACAACTTTACATAGCAGCTAACATCCTGAATGTTTGACACTTGCACACAAATGTATGTACATTACCACAGCAGCTGGTCTCCACATCCACCCGAAGTAAACACGTCTTTATAAGGAATCACTGTAGAGCAACTTTGCCATTTTAATCTTATCCACCGATGTTTATCACTGTATGTTTGAAAGTACATAAAAAAATCTTTCCTGTATTTTATGTAATTTGGACAACTGTCTTTGACTCACCTTCAGGCACCGAGTGGAAAACAGATTTAAGAAGTGAAGCAAATAAAATGGAAAGGTTTCTGTAGTAAAATCAGAAACTAGTTGTTCTGTAGAGATTGTAGATAGCTACATGAACACTGATGTAAGCCTTTCTGGTGACACTCAACTTTTCAGTTCTTGTGATCATTTGATTGCTTTTCTAACCCTTTAATTTAGCTGTTTGAACACAGCCAGTGTTTACATTGAACCATATGCTTTTATATCGGTTTTCAGTAGTAGTTCCAAATGTTAATGTCAGTAACTACATGAAGCCTTTGCTTTCTGAAGACTTTTCACTATAAAGATATTTAAAGGTGCCAATGAACAGAATTATGTGCCAAATCATTTGTGTTTTCCACAAATAATCTAGTAGATGAAGAGCATCATACTGCAGAGCTGGATAGCTTACATGTACTTGTATATCAGCCAAATTAGCATGTGTATCTATGAATCCAGAACTGTAACATGCATTTATTAATAAATGTGTAGAAATGTGCGCACACCATAAAAACTGCAAGTCCAGATCGTGTCGTGCTGTTCTGATCTGAGCTTATTCCAAATTTTCTCACCAAATATGAAAATATTCAGGTTCAGGAAATTGTATTTAGCTTTGCAAGGAAATGAATACATGTGACACATGTGGTGAAGCTCGAGGATTTTAACAGTGTGAACTAATGATGTTCTTTGCATTGAATATAGATTACAAGAAAACTCGGTGGGGCACCTTTAAAATCAGGTTCTGCACTGTAGCCCAACTATGAAAGCACATAGCATGTGATATAGTAACACACTTGTTTCGTAGGCAAAGTTTATATACCTGGAACAATGATTTTAAAATAGGGTGTAAACATTCTTGTTCTGTCAAAATTCACATGTTCGCATTGATTTCTTTTATTTTTGTACCACACATGGAGCAATGGGTGACTAGATGTGTAAATAAAATCCATTCGCTTAGCACCACAAAGTTGGTCCTGGTTGCTTATTCGTAGTCTTCTTGTCTTGTTACTGAGTACAAAGTAACAAATATGTTAATGCAGGTGTGATGTAATGCTGTACACAGAATAATAGGAATTCTGTCCAACCTCAGTTGGGACATACATACAGTCACTTTAATATATTTAATGAAGTCTTGTGAATTATTAACTGGGTGTTTGTCCCCACGTTACAGCGTTGAAATTCTTTTTAGCACTCATTTTTACATACAGGAACTGGTCACATGAAAGCATATTTAAGCTCTGTGAAAGCTGCAACTAAGTCACCATATCTAAATAACAGGATTTATTCTGAACAAGTTTGGGCATTAATATCATTAGGTCTCATTTATGTTGGAGTTTCAATAGCAGAACCCCTTAAAATTTTTTAATACATATTAAATGGGTGTTTTCCTATTTAAACTATGAGGGATCAAAATAACTGGAAATTACTTGTAGGCCTGTAAAATGGACCATTTACATACGAAGGTAAAATTTAGTGTGGCTTTGTTAGTTTGGTAAATAAGTTAATTACGTTAAATGAAATACTGTCATGTTTATTACTCAAAAAAATTCAAGGAAACACTTAAAAAGTATTTCTCATGTAATTATAAAACCAGTCCTCAAAAAGTTGATGATATTGTTTTGGCAGCTGTTGGGTCATTTCGTTCTCAAAAAATGACACACACTGCATTATGGTAAATATTTTCGTCAGCATAGATGTGTAAATAAACTGCTCGCTTAGTCTTAAAACCATTGCAAAGAAAATATGAAGCTTTGGTTGAAATTTAGCGTCTATGCGTTCATTTCGCTGTCATACTCCGGTCCAGGAGGCGGCAGTAATGCTCCATACGCTTCGATATACCCGCCGCCAAAACACTCATTTCACAGAAACAATATTTTTCTTTTCGGAAGAAGATCCCGACAAAGCGGCCCTGTTTCTTTTCAGCTTAAAAAAATAAAACATAGTCGAAAATCTGAAAACCGACGATGTACGCTCGGACAAATACCAGCAGCACACATGGAGACTTCCAAGATAGAAACGGGGTGAACTATGTTACATCGACAGAGTCTTTCGGCCACTGCTCTCAATTGTTCTGGAAAAAGGACCCCAACGACTCCGGAGTAAGAAAGCCAGCAGCTGCCATCACTGTTAGCTAGCGACCATGGGTAGAAATAGCTGCACCAAATAACTAGTGGAGCGACAATTTTACAGCTAAGCATTTAGCGCAGCCTCTCTGTTACACGTGGGTTTTGGTTGAGTGTCTGTGGGTGAGCTGAAGCTGCAGACTGTGTCACAGAGCAGCTTCGTTAGCATTCGGCTAACGTCATGCTGAGCGGTTTCCGGCCTAGTTTGACTCATAGCTGCAGAGCTAAGTAGCTAATAACTCGTTCCTTTTGAATTTCGTTTCTGTTACAACTCCACAAACGGTTTGGCGAAATTGGACGTTTATGTCCACGCATGCTGTCATTGCTGTCTTGGAAAGAGAAACACCAAGTGACTACCTGCTAGGAAAATAATGATGGAGCAGCTAAGCACCGCGGTTAAGCTAACTTCTCACAACACTGTCTCAGTCAAAGCCGAGTACGCTTAGCCAGCAGCAGTCTTTGCACATTACGACAAGACTGGAAAAACAGTTTAAATGTGTAGACTTCTACACGTTAACCTGTCTTTGGTGTAAGACCAAAACAAGCGTGCATTTCTGGGCAGTAGAACCAGTTTTACATGTATCAGGCCTGCAATATTAGCGAGCAGCGCAAAGTAAACACGGCTGGCTACCTCGCAGGAAACGGGAGCGGAAGACGCCCCGCGGAGGACTGCACTTCATTCAGTCTCCGACAGATTATCAGCGACCACAACCACACTTTAATCTTTAGAATCGAAACATAATAGTCTGTGGGCGGCCTGCAGGGGTATGAACCGTTGAGTTCACTGTAGCTCCCATAGCGTCCCGTAGCTTTTAGGTCCAAGCCATCTGTTGTGATTTGTGACTTGTGGAAGTCGTTCTGCGGTGTGTCACTCTGTATTCCTTCCCTCTCCCCCTTAGTGTCCAACAGTGTAAAGTGGGCACACCAGCATGATATTTGTCTCACAGTGTATACTCTTCCACAGAAGCTCCTTAGGAGTTGATATGTAAAAACAATAAAACGCTTGCTGGTGTGTTGTCACGTAGCATGTAGTGCCAAATATGGAAGTTTAATGTTTACATTTCTGTGTTTGTCCTGATGTTTTAGTCACTTTGGGGGTGAGAAAACAAGTTGTCACACAAGCAGACAGTTCTGGTGTTTATCTCAGACTCTTACAACTAACGTAGTGATTTTTTTTTTTGGGATGCACTAGCTGTAAGAATGATCATAGTGATACTGAGCATTAAAATCATCATTTTGCTGCTGTAATGTGTGCGTTTTTTTTCTTTAATTACCCTCTTTGTGGCAGGGGGCAAGGAAAACTTGATGTGGCACAACAGACCATTGATAGATGACATCTTATTTAGGGATACACATTAGAGGCTGATATTAGGCCTGTGTTTGAACTGTCAAAGCATCACAAGCGTTGATTTATCTAATTACTCCATTCTGCTCTATGCTTGGTGTCAGTCTAATGAATGACCTGAGGATTTTGAGTTGTTAGTGTCTCCACAGAATCTGTGTGTCTGTTTGGTTCTAGTGTTTCTAGTGTAGTTCTACATGTGGTACTGCAGTAGTTTTTCAGAATTTACTCTCAACATACTGATTGAACTTATGTGAAGATACGTACGTGTGAAAGAGTAAAATTATACGTATTAAATACATAATAAGAGTCGTTAGCTGTCATTTAATGCAAATATAATTAAATGCTGTTTAAGTTTAATACATCGTAATAAATATTTACGAAGGGCTGTACCCTTTATTTGAAGTGTTTAGATGTTCCCACTAGGTACTGAAGCTATGTCAGATCTGGGCTCTGATTGGCTGGAATTGTGTAAAGCTTTGTCTCAGAACTGTCTATCATCCCAGATATCCACATATCACAGCAGGCAGCTGCATGTGCAGGTTTGTCAGGTGTTTCAAGTGGTCAGAAAGAGAGAGGAGGTCAATGCTGAAATAAATATCAAGAATATCCAGTGCTATGAACAAGTGTTATGATTTAATTTTTTGCATGATGAATTCATTTAAGGGAAGAAAACCTCGCCCTGTATAAGAAAGTAATTCACAGTCAATGGTTGCAGTGACTGCAATCAAGTGTTTGCACTTATCGATGAGTCTTTTTGCGTCGCTGTTGAGGAATTTTTGCTCATTCTTCTTTCATGTATGAATGTAGTTAGTGTTAACATTTCCTTTAACGTTACCGTCACAGCCAAGTTCAACGATCAGCTGGTGCGATCAGCTTCCTTCATCCTCAGCAGCCCTCTCCACCTCCAGCCTCTC